CCCCAAAACCCCAAAACCCCAAAACCCCAAAACCCCTAGCATTCATGTATGGGTTGAACTAGTTTGGGTAATAAGTAGTGAAGCTGCGAGGCTTTGAGTTGTATAATGTGCACTCATTGTTAGAGAGCAGAATGTCACAACATATTCTCTCTCTTTGGAAACATTGAAGCTTTTTGGTTAAAGCTTCACTGATTTCACCCTTGATCTTTAGATGAAGTGTCTTTATGAGAAAATTGTTTCTAATTGAGTTAAATATTTTGTTCAGAGCTTTAATAGTTGGAACCTCTAGTTCTAGATCTCTTAATTGGGTATTTGTTTCAAGAAATTGGCACAACTTGTCGAGTATCTTAGGCTTCTTTAAGAGAAGTCTGTTGTATCTGAACTCAAGAACATTGAAACCTATATGTCAAGAGGAAGAGATTACTCATGATGGTATCAATGAATTCACAAAAGTTATCAACTTGCTCTTTAATATCTCCGCAAAATCAGTATGCAGGATGCAATTTTTGTAGCTTGTTATAATCTTTGTAAGAAATCTTTTTGAAAGACTCTCACTTCCATCTCAATGGTATGTCTTGCATCACATAAATCTTGAGCAACCCGGCTTTGTCAGAAGAGTTATTAAGCTACAAATAGATTGATTAGACTTAAGTGTTGGATTTTAGATGACTAAAATTTACTGATCAGAAATATTTCAGCCAATCAAATTGAAGCTTCTTACCATTTTTATAGCTTCTTTGTAGCTCACTCAGCCCTTGTACTCTCCATTCTTGGAACAAGGGTATAGTTTGAGAGTGTAAGAACTGCTTTTATCAGTGAGATGTTGACAAATTTTGCTCTTTTCTGACATATCTAGCATGATTTCTGAGTTGAAATCAAGTAAAAGAAGCATGCCAGCTTTAACTTTTTCGATCTGTTTAGAGTATTCGGGATACAGCTCTTTCAGCTTGTCTTTTGAGATATCTTCATTTATCACATTAAAGTTCTGGATCTCAATAGCATAGCCCTCAAAGCTTTCGAGTCTGTTCAAAAGAACAGAATTGGGGAGCTGAAGATAGGATTTATTGATGGTTTTATACTCAAAATGTGTTGCTTTTATCAGGACATACTGTGGCTCATACCACATTTTCTGTCCAAGCTTATGCATCTCTGGGTCTCTCACTCTTTTATGGCTAATTCAGCCAATAATATATGCATTCTCCTTTTGAATGAATAGCTGAGGGTCAGTCAGGTTCTTTCCCATTCCAAATTCAGCAGTCTTGATCTTGTGAAGGTTAGGAAGTGAGTTAATTTTTGCAAAGAATTTTCTTAAAAGTCTTCGGACAGTGAAAAATCCCCGGAATCTTATCGATTCTCAGCTTGGGAGGTGCTCTAGAAGTCAATCTATTGTCTCTGGATCTTCAATGTTTTGTTCCTATGTATCAGTTGTTTTAGAGCATAAAACAAAGTTTACAGTAATGATTTATGAAAATGCTTATAGGAAATAGTTGTATCTGAGATTTTGGTCAGAGAAACTTTCTGTCTCTTTATTTTTACTATTTAGAAGAATACTCTGATAATAAGGGAAGGCTTAAAATCTTTGGTTTGCCAATAACTCGACTTAAAGGCCTACCTGGCTTCTTTGAACTACATAATTGAGGGTAACCTAGGGGATAAATCATGTTTTTATTTTAAAGCTTACTCTTTTACAGCCATTATATAGGACTTTCTATAAGATCCAATTAATCATCAGTTTTAGGCAAATTTTACTTACTTTTCCCTCATAATCTTGAAAATAATACAACAGATCATTTAGATGATAAGGATCAAACCTTAACTCTGCAAATTCAGAGTTTTTGTATATATCTAGTTGCTTGAGATTTGTTCCAAAATCTAAAATTCCGAGCTTCTTCGGTTTGCATGGAAGGTCTCTCGGGAGATAAGAGTGTCTGTTCTTACTCACGAATGGGAGGTATGGAAGGTCTCGCTTTAGCTTATTTGTAGACCACTGGATTCTAGAGTGGAAGGAATCAATATTATCAAAATAAATCTTGCCCCAGTCCCAGCCCAAGGCTTCATAAAGGTTCATAAACTTGTAGAATCCCGATGGAATACTATTCTCTTGCTTAACTGTTAGAATTTTTACAAAATCTGTGTTATAAACTCCAATAGACTGGTTGTAAGAGATGGCTTCACATAGGAAGTATATCAGAGTTTGATAGCTTTGTTCTTTTGTAAGATCCATCGAGAGGGAATAATAGTTAAATCTGCCATCTTCGAGGAGTATTTTAAAAATCTTCAGGCTAGGAGACTTTCTGTTTATGTTGAGGATCATCTTGCACTTCTGATCCTTCATGGCCACATTGAGGATCGGAGCAATGTTCCTCTCCCATTCTTCCTTGCTGCTCTTACAAAGGAGGATGAATAAGTCTCTTCACTCACTTAGGTAGCCATAGTAAGGCATTATATTGGCGAAATAGTTTAGCCTCGTCAGCAATTTCTTCATGATTTGATTTGGTGTGTGACTTCGTAATTAATTTTTAGAAACTTTCTTTCAATATATACCATTTGTTTGGGGTTTTGGGGTTTTGGGGTTTTGGGGTTTTGGGG